TCAATTTATATAATCATATGTTGTGCTCTTTGAAAAACCTGTAATTTATATAATTTCAGCAGGTTTTTTTATACTATTATTCCATAACTGCCTTATGACCGTTTTTTGTACAGCAAGATCAGTGTTGGATGACATTTTTTACGTCAAGTATTAATTTAACAGCTTAAAATAGTAAGTTATTTATATAAACCAATATATATGAGTCATTTAATATAAATAACTTATTACAAAAATGTATTTATCCAGAATTTGGTTGTCATCACACTTTTTTGTATAATAAAACAAAAGTCCAGATCTTTTCTGTACCTACTGTAGATAATATAGTGATTTTAATATTAAAAATTCAAAAATTATATTATTAACTTATTAATAGATAGGATTTTAATAATATTACTTCAATATTTTTTTAATATTAATTTGATACTTAAGTTTACTATAAATTTATATAAGTAGGTTATAATCTATATATTAAATTTAGTATAAATTAATACTATTTTAATATTAGTTAAATATTAGTTTAATATTTTTCAAAGTTTTATTAATAAGTATTTTGTTACTTAAATATAGTTTGACTTTAGTATAAATCTCAATATATTGAATTTTATACTATTGTTTTTTTTACAAAATTAATAAATATAGCAACATATAGTTTAATTAAAGAAAAAAAATTAATTACTATTATAAATTTTATACTAATTATATATTGTAAAAATTTAATTAACAAATAATAAAATAAATAATTTTACCAATTAATTAATTATATTAAATCAATTATGTTTTAGCATAAATGTATAGATTAGACTATTTATAATAACTTTATTTTAAGACTTGTATCTAATAAAATTAAGACTTTTAAAATTTATGTAATACATCAATACGTCACTATAGACCAAATTTACAAAGGTAGCCAATCACGATTAGATCCTTCATTTAAGATTTCATGAACAGGGCTTTTGCACAATAAAAGGCGCGTATATTTTTATTTAAATAATGTCACAAGTAGAAGAATGTCCTTTATGTTCATCGAAAATCGCCCCCTTTCATATTAATTTTACCTTAGAATTATCAATGTGTATAAATGAACTAGTAAGTTAACTTATTTTTATGCAACTTCATTAGTTATTAATCTGAAATAAATAAATAACCACGTTTTTTTTATAGTGTCCATATCCATTCGGCAACGAGATTTCACGCTATTTGAAGGATACTCCGACTCTTGTCAATACAAGAACCGAATCAACCTCTGAAAATAATATTAGCAATGCTTACAGCGATAATGGACTTTCTTCGTCAACTACGGCAAGTGAAACATTATTTGATACGAGATCTATTGAAAATAGTAACAATCTCACATCTCCATCAATGTTGTCATCAGAAAAGAATGGAAACGTCACTGATCTATCTCAGTATGATGAGATTTTGAATGTTCTTTCATCCAATATCGGTGCAAATTTGACCTCCGATCAAGCAATAAATAGTTTACTGGACGAAATTGATTTCAGTGTTTTACCATCATCAACAAACCTTCCGAAATCTGATAACGATAATGATAGAGCTGTTGTATCTGTGGATGAGTATGAAAAAATTTTGTTCGGTTCTTCAGAAGTTGATACTCTTTTAGGATCGATAGATGTTAACACTAGCAATGACAATACCTTGGATGTATCTGAATATGAATGCACTAAAGAAAACTGCGGATAAGAACCATGAACTGCATTTTATCATGTGACATGGATTCTGCAATTCTAATATGAAATAAATTGAATAATCAGGTTTCACTTTTAGAGACAAACTCAAACAAATCTCTATATGAAAATATTTTATATTTTAATTTAAATGTCTTAATTAAAATAAATACAAAAATAAATTTATTAATTTAATTTTATAAAAAAATAATTCACGGTAATTTATAATAAAAAAATATGTTTTAAAATGATATTTATTGTATTTTAGAAAAAATTAACTAATTGTTATTTTATTTTATTTTTTGGCAGGTATTAAATAAGATTTTATTAAATTTCTGTTTTAACCAATACAAATCAATTAATTAGCATAACCAAAAATAGGTGATACATATAAAACTTTTAAAGCAATAAAGAAAAAGAGAAAAAAAAATAACAGTTAGTTATTAATATAATATAATAAATATAACTTAGGTTTCAAATTGTGATCTAGACTTGTAAAACCATATAACCAGTAGAAATACAGTATATATTACAGGTTATAAATCTTTTTTATTTAGTAATTTTAATATTAATATAATATAATTATCTTATATTGATTTTTTGAAAAAGACAAAATAATTATGATTTTT